CAAAAAAAAAAAAAAAAAAAAAGAAAAGAAAAAAAAATTAGTTGTATTTCAAATTTTTAAATTCTTAATGTGACACATATTTTTAAGGTAAGACACTAAAATTATTATAAATTCTTTATGTATTAATTTTTAAATGTTACTTTTATTTTTATGGTTAATGTCATACTGGAGCAGAATAATTCTTCTCTGATAAGAAGAACCCAGGAAGAAACGTACTGATTTTCACATTTCTGGAATTAATATAGTTTATATTTTGTCTCTATGTAAGGCACTCAATATTATATCAAATTTTGAAAGGGAAATAATAAAATTATGCTATAAATGCTAATAAATAAAAATTACAGAACACTTCTTTGTCTTCAACAATAAGCAGAAATACTCCCTTGAGATTCCTCTGCTCTCCTTTTGTCTATTCGCTTAAATTTCCTAGTGCCATAGTATGATAAGTGAGAAATAATTTTACTATCCTAAAATCATAGTCCCTCCTTCTCAATGTTTTGGAATAATTTCAGGTATGAATCGTACAGCTTCTTTTTGTTGTTGTTGTTGTTGTTGGAGTTGGAGTCTCACTCTATCGCCCAGGCGGGAGTGCACCGGCCGCTTCTGGCCACTGCAGCCTCGACCTGCTGGGCTCCGGCGATCCTTCTGCCTCAGCCTTCCAAGTAGCAGGAACTACAGGCGCGCGCTACACGCCCCGCTAATTTTTTTTGATTTATTGTAGAGATGAGGTCTCGCCAAGTTGCCCAGGCGAGTCTTATTAAGTAAAGTTACCACAGAACACAGTCTCTGACATCACACAGCTACAGAGATGAAGAAACAAAGAAGAACCTACTCACAATTTAATCTGTCCGAGGACTCAAAGAAGCAGCAAAAAAAAGCCTAACATCGCTGAAAGCTCCATTTCAGTAACTAAACAGGAAAAAACCCACATGAAATTAAACCTTCAAAATGCTTCTCTGGATCATCAAGAGAAAGACATGACCTACCACAACAAAAGTAAAATATTTAGTCAATCTTCAATATTACTCTACTAGGATGTGCAGTTGGAGAACAGAGTTATGTGAAACATTAGGGAATATATTTCATTCATAGTATAAAAGCTCAGAGTCAGGCTATGATATTTTAATATGAAATATGAAGACTAATTTTGTTCAGGCGTTGTTAACTTTATATGCCTTGATCAAAAAATAACAGTACAATGTATTTACTGAAAATAAAATGTTGAATTTTGAGAGAAAGCTTAGTATGGCAGATATTTGTTTAGAAACTAGAGTTTTTCCATGTAATTTTTTGCACACGTGTATTCTCTCATATGCAAACCTTCTAATTTTACTGTCCTTTCTCTGTTTTTCTATTTCTCTCTGTACAGGTTTACCATCACCTCCAAAAAAGATTACTGCTGAGATCCTGGCAAACACTTGTATTGTTCTGATGTCTTCTGTGTTAAAAACAATAGTTCTTATTTCCTGTAAGTATATTCTTGCATGATTGTTAAGAGGACTTACATTTTATTGACTGACAGTGCGTCTAAGCATCTCATCATATTAGGGAAAAGGGTTCTCATTTTAAAGTATATACTTAATCCAAAGTAAAATACTTACTCTGAATTTTTCAAAACTATAAACATATGAAAAAACAGTTGTTTAAATTATACATATATGTAATTATACACATATATACTATTGTATCTTTTTTTATAATATCAAAACATGCTTCAAGGTTAAAACGTTTAAAAATGCAAATTCATTTCTGAAAGTGGTTATATAAAATACTGCAAAAGATGATAAAGTTTGGAGTTTCAGCCTTTTTTTTTTTTACAAAGTTCTAATTATTTCAATACGTTTTCTAAAAAATTAGTTGTATTTCAAATTTTCAAATTCTTAATGTGACACATATTTTTGAGGTAAGACACGAAAATTACTATAAATTCTTTATGAATTAATTTTTAAATATTACTTTTATTTTTATACTTAATGTAATATGGGAGCAGAATAATTCTTCTCTGATATAAGAACCCAGAAAGGAACATACTGATTTTCAAATCTCTGGAATTAATATAGTTTACATTTTGTCTCTATTTTAAGGCACTCAAAATTATAACAAATTTTGAGGGGGAAATCATAAAATTATGCTATAAATGCTAATAAATAAAAAGTATAGAACACTTCTTTGTCTTCAACAATAAGCAGAAATACTCACTTGAGATTCCTCTACTGTCCTTTTGTCTATTCGCTCAAATTTGCTAGTGCCATAGTATGACAAGTGAGAAATAATTTTACTATACTGAAAACATAGTCCCTCCTTCTCAATTTTTTGGAATAATTTCAGGTATGATTTGTACAACTTCTTTGTACATCTTATAAAATTCTAATGTAAAAGATTGTAGCCATTCTAGTAGATGTGTAGAGGCATATCATCATTGTTTCAATTTGTATTTCCCTAATAATATATAATGATCCATTTGTATATTTGCCATCCGTATATTTTATATGATGAAAGTTGGGTTCACATTTTTTGCTCATTTTGATGTTTTCTTCTTATTGTTTACGTGAAAGCACAATTTTTATATGTTGGATACTGATCCTTTACCATATATGTGCTTTAAAACACTTTTCCTTCAGTGCGGGGTTATCTTTTCATTCTGTTAACACTGTCTTTTGCAAACTAAAAATGATTGATTTTAACTAAGTTCGATTTGTTTTTTTCATTGAATGGCCTTTGCTCCCAGATTAAAGATCAGTTGTCTTCATTTGTGGGTTCTTCCTCTCTCATTACTTCTGATCAAGATTTTCTCAGAATATTTCTCACCTTTTTCATGAAGGAAAATGTTTAGGGTACTGAGTATCATGTGAGTTTTCTTGATGGTCATAGCCTTTTGCAGTGACTGCAAACTGTAAGAAACTATTGAACTCTCATATTGTCTTTCTCTTGAGAGCATTATTTATTTTATAGAATGTGGTAAATAGATACTAGACTCATATCAATTTCTCATTCCAATTAATTCCTTCTTTACTTTATATATATAAATTATATATATTATTGATGATTTATTTCCACTCAACATAACCTATTAATTTTATATGATGAAGGGTGGGTTCACATGTTTTACAAATTGAAAAACCTTACCGGAAAATGGAAATTAATTTTTGAAAGTGGCTAAATCAAGTACTGTATGAGGAGGTGAATTTGTTCTTTATACTGCTAAAATATCTTTCCCAAACCTCAATTACTTCATATTTTTTTTTTGTACAATCCTTCATTTTTCAATATCTGAATGCCCACACTGGAGTGCAGTGGCACGGTCATGGCCACCCTAGCGTCCACATGCTGGGGTCTGGCGATCCTTCAGCCTCAGCCTTCCAAGTAGCCGAACTACAGGTGCGCGCTACCATACCCGGCTAATTTATTTTATTGAATGGTGAGATGAGTTGCCTGTGTTGGTCTCAAACCTGCGACCTCAGGCATTCCACTAGGTTCGGCATTCCAAAATAGGCCTCCAAGTCTGGCCTAATTTATCAAATTCTGAAGAAGATAACATCATTATGACTTATTCAGATACTCATTTTTAATTAAAGGATTATTTTAAATTTTCTAGCTACTGCAACACAGAAGTAGACCAATTCTTTTCAAAATGCAAGCACTAAGAAAGGTATGTAATGATTTTCAAAGTTCTGATAATAAGAGTTTATATTTTGTATTGATCTTTAGTCATGCAAAAATAGCCAGAAATTTATTGAGGGAAAATAAATTACAAACTTTAGCATAAATGTCTGTAAATAAAGATTATAAGAACACATTTTCTTTTTTTTTTTTTTTTTTCTTGAGTTGTAGTCTCACTCTGTCACCCAGACTGGAGTGAAGTGGTGTTCCTGGCCACCGCAGCCTTGGCCTACTGGGCTCCAGCGATCCCTCTGCCTCAGTCTTCCACACAGCTGGAACTACAGGTGCGCGCTACCATGGCCCGGCTAATTTTTTGATTTATTGTAGAGGTGAGGTCTCGCCAAATTGCCAAGGCAGGTCTCGAACCCACGGGTTCAGGCAGTCCACTCTCCTCAGCCTCCCAAGGTGCGGGATTACAGGCTGAGCCACCGAGCCCAGCAAACACATTTTCTTTTCTTTAGCAATAATAAATTAAAATACTCATTCAAAATCACTTTACCCTATTTTGTTTTGTTGCAAATTCCTATTGCTATAAAATCATGAGGTAAATAATTTTACTTTTATAAAAAAGTATGTTCAGTGATTTCAAGATGGGTGTAATGGGACCTTTTGTCTGTTGGTTTGCTTCATGTGTGAACACAATTAAGGGACACGATACTGTCTCTTTACAGTGTGTACGTGTATGAGTAAGTAGGTTTTTAAATTATATGTACATCCTGTGAGGATACCTAGATATGTTATGTGCATATATGACAAGCCTTTGCACCTTGTTTCATTTTAACATATTCATTTTGTTTCTTGATAGTAATTTGCAATGTTTCCTCAGCACATAATTGTAGATGTCCAGAGGAATGGTTTACATATTCCAACAGCTGTTATTACATTGGAAAGGAAACGAAAACTTGGGAGGAGAGTATGATGGCCTGTGTTTCTATGAACTCCAGCCTGCTTTATATAGATGATGAAGAAGAAATGGTATGGCGGTCAATGCTTCAAATGCTTTATTGAAAGCTTATTTCAGCCAGTAATATATTTGTAGAAATAATCTATTTTCATGTACATACTTTGTTGAAATATTTTCAACTATGAAAATTTTATTGATTGACCTTAAAATAGTTTATTTGTATCCCCATTCTGCTAATACACATTTCATTACTTCTTTTCATTGAAAGCATGCAACCATAAATGCTTTGATTCTAAAACAAATTTTGCGATTTAGTTCTACTGGATGTGCAGTTTGATCACAAATTGAATGAACTCGTGCAATACAAAGATCATGAAACAGATGTTTCTAGCACCAACAGCAGTCCTGCTTTTGTGTGTCCTCATCACTGCTGCCTCCTCCCCAAACCAGTGACCTGTGTTTTAATATTACAAATATTGCTAGATCAGTTGCTAGGAAACAGCAAACCTACTTCATTTTCTCTGTTAGTGGGGATTTGAGGATATCCAGCCACTCTGTTGCTCTCTGGGCTTAGGTTTCAAAGCATTTCAGCCCTCCTCCTCCTCCCCCCCCCCCCCCCCCCCCCCCCCCCCCCCCCCCCCCCCCCCTCCTCCTCCTCCTCCTCCTCCTCCTCCTCCTCCGAGTTGGAGTCACTCTGTCGCCCAGACTGGAGTGCAGTGGCACATTCCGGCTACCGCAGCCTCGACCTGCTGGGCTCCGGCAAACCTTCCGCCTCAGCCTACCGAGTAGCTTGAACTACAGGCATGCGCTACCATGCCTGGCTATTTCTTGATCTATTGCAGAGACAAGGTCTCACCAAGTTCCCCGGGTGGGTCTCAAACCCACGAACTCAAGCAGTCCTCTCGTCTCAGCCTCCCAAAGTGCTGGGATTACAGGCTGAGCCACTGAGCCCGGCTCAGCCTTCTATTTTCACCATTCCCAGCTCTACTTTGCTTCTGTTTTTTATTTGTTTTATGACTTATAGTTGAATGTAGTAGGGAGTAATATAGAGAATGCATATATACCACCTGGTCTTGGAACACTGTATTCAATAAAAAGGAAGTCAGATAAAAATGGAGGCTTATATAGTTTTAAATGATGTCGTTCCTCTAAGAAACAAGTGAAGAGGAGTTTGCACAATATGTCATTTATTTTCTTAATGGCAATTTCTTAACCCCCTTCTAAACCACAACTCTGAATAACAGTGAAAAATATGACCAGGCACAATAGCTCAACCTGTAATCCCAGCTCTTTGGAATGCCGAGGCAAGAGGATTGCCTGACACCTCATCTCTACAATAAATCACACACACAAAAACTAGCTGAGCATGATCGCATGTGTCTGTCATTCTGAGGCAGAAGGATTGCCTAAGCCCAGAAGGTCGAGGCTGCAGTAGCCATGAGTGTGCCACTACACTCCAGTCTGGATGACAAGAGTGATACTCAAACTAAAACTATATATATATTGATTTAGTCACAATATCTGAGAAATGAATGTGCAATCTGGACACTTACTCAAATCCATGCTGTTAGTTTTGTCAACGTAGGTAACTTTGAAATTATGTGAATCATAGTTTTCTATTATTAACTTGAAAAGAAGGATAAAATTATTAAGCTAAACATTTACGAGTTCTCTTTAAATCAACATTATTTAAAAGCAAATGCAAAAATGGTCAACAAGCATATAAAAATACTCATCACTAATCATCAAAGAAATGTAAATGAAAACTGCATTGAGATGCCAATTTACAGCAGTCAAAATGACTATCAACAAAGAGAAAAAAAATAACATGATCACAAGCGTGTGGAAAAAACATAACAATATATACTGTTATTGAGAATGTCAATTAGTACGATAGCTAAGGAAAACTATTTGGAGATTTTTCAAAAATAAAAGCGGAACTACCATTTAATCCAGCCATCACACTACTCAGTATCTACACAAATGAAACAAATTATATCAAAAAGGTATATGCACATATACTTTTACTGTAGCATTATTTACAGCATCAAATATATGGAAGCACTCTAAGTGTCCATTAACATGTTTGGAGAAAAAATGTGTTATGTACCTAAATATCTACATATATACAATATGTATGTGTGTTTATACACATACAAGCACGCAGGCACACACACACACACTCACACACACACACTCTAACACATACAGACATACACCCTATGAAATGCTACACAGCCATAAAAACAAATCATGACTTTAGCAGCAACAGGAATAGAAGTGGTGGTTATTATTGTAAGTGAAATGAATAAGAAACAGAAAATCATATACCATATGTTCTCATATGTGTCCGTTAAATAATGGGTACAAATGGACATAAAAAGTGAAATATAGTCACTGAAAGCACTGAAGGGACACAGAGTGGGAAAGGGATGAGGGATGAGAAATAATTTAATGGGTATAATGTACATTATTCAGATGATGGTTGCAGTTCAACTCTGAACTCCACCTCAAGATAATATATACATGTAACAAAAACATGCTTGAACTGCTTGAATTAATACCAAAAAAACTAGTCACTACAGAAATATTTTTTACTTTAATATTTTGTTTAATGTATTTTTTGCTTAAAATTAAGGATTTTAAGGAAAAAAGCACTATTGGTGCTTTTAAAAATGAATAAAATCATTATAATAGTTACTTAAATAAAAGTTTTTCATTTTTTGTTAGAAATTTCTGGCCTCACTGGTACCTGAATCATGGATTGGAGTCTTCCGTAACAACAGTGATCATCCATGGGTTTCAAAAAATGGCTCAATGTTCAAACTTAAGTAAGTTTTTGGAATGGTGCTATAAAGAGAAAAAAATATATAAAAGGGAGAAATTCAAAGAATAATATGAATAACCTTATGTTGATTTTTAGACATGAAGAAATGTTTTGAAAGTTAGTATAATGGTGATATACACATATAATATATATATTATAGTGGACTACAGTAGACACCCTCATCCACAGTTTCACTGTCTGTGGTTTCTATTGCCCAGGATCAACCTCAAACAAAAATATTAGTAGAAAAATTTTGGAAAAAACAATTCATGAGTTTTTAAATTGTGCACTGTTCTGAGGAGTATGATCAATTCTTTGTAGTTTGATATGTCCCACTTGAAACGTGAATCATTGATTTGTCTAGAGTATCCATATTGTGTGTGCTGCTTGTCCTTTAGTTAGTAATCATCTAATTATCAGGTCTACTGTAATCATAGTGTCTTTGTCCATCACTCTTAGTTTAGGCAATAAGGGCTACAAGTGCAAGAGTTGTGATGTAAGCATATTGTTATGATTATTGTATTAAATTATTGGATGTTGATAATCTCATGTGCCTAATTTGTATGTAATCTTTACAGGTATGTATGTATAGGAAAAACATAGTATTTACTCATATGAGAATTGGCACTATTTATGGTTTAGTGAATCCACTGTAGTAAATGTCTCCCACAAAGTAGGGGGGACTTCTATAATCAGTTTTGTTTAATAACCAACTATTACTAATATGATAAATGTACTTACCTGTTTTCTAGAGATTATTTTCTTAAAATACATGGAAAATTCTCTTGTTTCCCAATTGTCGCCCTAAAATATAATGAATTGTGTTTTTTCTCCACTGCAGGATAACAGAATATTTTGCTCAATACAACTGTGTAAAGATACACTTACATAAACTTGAGGGAGACAAATGTGAAGCTTCACAAGCATATAGTTGTAAGCATAAGTTTCAGAATTCAAGCCCTGAGTGTGGAGTCTCTCAGGTAATTTTATATTTTATTAAATGAAAATAATATTTTGATCACCTATGTTTGAAACTGAATTATTGTTTGCTACAGCAATGAAAATACATTTCAAAAAAGCTACTGATTTATATACACAAGCCACCAAGTGCAGATATCACTGCTGTTGTGTATGGCTCTTTTTCCTGGACAGCCTTTCTAAAAGTCATATGTTATGTGAGTCTATTTGTTTGAAATATTAAGAATAGACAAATCCATAGTGACAGAAAATAGAATAGCAGTGGCCAAGGGCTTACAGTGAACTAGAAAGTGACTGCCAATAGCTACAGTGTTTCTTTTTTATGGTGGTCTTGCTCGTAACTCTGTGAATATATAAAAAATTTTAAGTGAATGGAATTTATATTATGTACATGACACCTAAAATGAAAAAAAAGACCACTCATTTTTTTTGTAGTTTATAATTGGGATTATTGAGTTGCACATGAATCTGTGAGATGTGCTTTCCTAATCTTAATATGACATGGGTTTATTACTCATCTGACATGAAATAAATAAATAATGACATCAAAAAACTCTCATGGATTACATTTGGATCTGCATTTAATCTCTAACATAGTTTTTCCAGATGATGAATCTTTGTAGTGTTGACTTCTCCGATCAATATCAGGCTGTGATCTTCAGTATGTTAGATTTTTTTGAATTTCTTTCTATCACACTATTTTTTTTTTAAGTTTTGAAGCCATACAGGAATATAGGTATTTCACTCTCTTGTTTTTGTAAATGATATCTTTATTTCAAAATTTATTTTAGAAATGTTTATTGCTAAAAGTGAAAAGACAATTGAAGTTTGCACATTGATCTTATGTTCAGTTGTTTCACTGATTTTATGTATTAATGCTATAATTTCATCTATAGATTTTCTGTATTTTCTAAATTTTATATGTACATCATAAAACTGTTATATTCTATCTTTAGGTGCAATGATTTTTTTTTTCCTTGATGTATTCTCACTGCTGAGAGGTTTAATTCTAATAAATAGAAGGTACAATAAAAGTTCTGTCTGTATAATATTCATTATTCCCTGCTTGTCAAAAACATTTAATTTATGTTTAGAAATTTTCATCTTAACTGTCTCATATTGAAGAAATATAACAAATATCTTATTTTTCAAATTGATTTTTTATCTAATGATATTGCATTTGTATTATTATTATTAACTATGAAATATGTTCTCCCTGTATAATGTTATAATGTAAACTACAATTATCTTCCAGGCGTATATTTTTTCCTTTATTTTATTATCTTCTTTTTGAGTAAGGCGTGTTGTTCTGTCTCCAAGACTGGAGTGCAGTGGCTCCACGGTGTCTTATTGCATTTTCTAACTCCTACTCTCAAGAAATACTCCCTCCTCAACCTCCTGAATACTTGGTAACACAGTTACATGCCACCAGAATGAGCTAATTGTTTTCTTTTTTTTTTTCCTTTTTTTGCAGAGATATATTACCTAGGATGTTTTGGCCTCCTGGATTCAAGCAATCCTTCTATCTCGACCTACTTGGGATAACAGGTGTGAGCCTATTTCTTCCATATTTTGAAACAGTATTGCATTTCTAAAACAAAATCATAATTGTAATCGAATAATGCCCCTTTTAAAAAATAAATCAGTGAATACAGTATGCTCAAGGTAATATTTGTTTCTTTATCCGTGGTCACAGGAAAGTTTGACTGTTTTACTTAACACTTTTGCTATTAAGGCTGTATTGAGAGACAGTCCTCTTTTTTTCTGTAATATAGAAGCCTTTTTTTTTTTTTTTTAAGTGCTGTTTCATTTTTAAGTGTTCCTATTCAGTGGTAATGCCATCTGAGTTCCAAGAATATTTTTGTAGAAAAGTTTTTATAGCAAAGTTAATTTCTTTAATACATTTAAACCGTACTAAATTTTTGTTTGTTGTACTGCATTTTGACAATTTGTATTTTCTAGATTGAATTTTATATGAATATTAAAATGTATACAGAATATAGTTAAATATCAATAATGACTGATATCTGTAAAAACTTAATAGTACCTCATGTTTAATCCAGAAATAAAATATCTGAGCCTTCTCTGATTTTTTCTTCAATATTCATTTATCACATAATTACAGCTTTTTCATTGAAAATATTTTGCCTGTTTGCATCCCCACTGTAACTGTGTTCAATGTCATGATTTTGTGCTATTTATTTTTCCCTTCTACTACTTTGTTTGTATTTAGTGGCAGTAAATGTCAGATTTCCCATTTTGAATTTCTTTGACAAAGACTTAGATAATTCAATTTCTGTTTTTCTTTTGTTGTGCATACATTTAAGAAAATCTGTTTTTCACAAGAAATAGTTTATTTTCATGGGATTTTATAAAATTTTGAATATTCATTGTGTTATTTTGAGACCTTACTTTATTCATAAATATATTACTAAATTATAAGTCATACGAGTTTCCAGATGTTGGGTTACTGACTTATATTTAAACTAAATTATAATCAGAAGATTTTCTGTGAAGTTGGAAGTGTTCTATGTTTGTGTCTAAATGTGGATATTGTGACTGAGGAAATGATTTAAAGGTTACTAATATTTAGTTAATTAATATTAAATTTGCGTAACTGTATTCAAGCCTCAACTGGTAGAGCTTGACTGCTGTGGTACTGCCTTGAAAGTACAGTCATGTATTTTTATATTAATATGCTTGGCAAGGTGACATCATAGTGTACTTTTGGAACATTTTCGTGTGAACTTGAAATATAAATATTTGATATTTGCGTAGAAAGTGTGTGTGTGTTCATGTGTGTGTTGATTAATTGTTTAGCTTAAGTCTTCTATAGGCTCACTGCAATGTCTGCATTATAAGCAGCAAGACAAAGGTGTGAAATTCCTTTTTTTGAGGACCTGTTTAGATACTTTTTTCACTTCTATGCTGAACTTGTATTAGCATTTCATATAAATTATTTTTAAAATAAAGCATACTTTCCCTTTTCCAATAATGCTTTTCACTTATATTATGAATGAACATTAGCTATAGCAGTTTTATTTGAGTTTGTATTGCATGGTATAAATTTTCATGTCTTTGTTTAAATTTTTCTCTTTTTTTTCAAAAGTAGGATTTATTGAGAGGACAGGAATGCTCCCACAGTGGGAGAGGACACCAAAGGGTTGCCCCTAAATTTTTCTTTATGCTTATATTAAAGGAGTGTCATTAAAAGAGCAAACAGTTATTTTTATTATAAAACATTCTTTGTACTTTTTAAATAAAAATAATTTTAGTTTTATATACTAAAGTTATCCGATTTTTAAGTATATTTATTTTCATGAAAATATCTTATTTAATATAATTAATTATATTACAATAGATACTTTGAATTGAAAATTAACAATTTTTATAATTCCAATTTATTTTTTGTACCTTCACCATATTTTGTTGTTTACTTTATAATATATAGATTTACTTATTTAATGTACTCTAAATATCCTTTTATTGGTGTCCTGCATTTTGCAGTATAGCCTTCTCAAACATTGAAGAAATTTAACATTCCTTCCTATGGTTTGAATGTTTGTGTCTCCTCTAAAATTCATGTTGAAACTTATTCCTTACTTAAGAGGCATTAAGAGGTAGACCTTATGATATGTGATAGAATTATTATGAGAGTTTATCATTATGAGCAGATGTGTGTCTTAGAAAAGTGCTGCAGGAAACTAGCATTCACATTCACATTTTTTCCCCTTCTACCTTTAGCAATATCATCTTGAAAGCAGAGAGCAGACCTCAGCAGACACTAAACTACTCAGATTATTAATCTTGCACTTTCCAACCCACAGAACTCTGAAAGATAAATTTCTGTTGTTTATTAATTGCTTAGTATGTGGTATTTTGTTATAACGTACAAATAAACGAAGACCACTATCCCCTTTGATTTATTGATTAAGCAACTACCGATCACTCCCTTGGAGTAATGTGATTATTGTTCAGTTCCCATAGTTAGTGAAAATGTGCATTTTTCAGGTTTTTTGTTTCTGTGATAGATAACTAAGTATAATGGTCTTCAATTCCATACAATTTGCTGCAAAGTCCCTGATATTTTTTGTCTTAATGACTACAAAATATTCCATCATGTATATGTACTACTTTTTCTTTATCCAGTCCACTTCCCCTGGACAGTAGGATTGCTTCTATGTTTTGCTTTTTGAATAGTGAGTTAAAAACATGCCTGTGTAGGTGCTTTTTTTTTCTTTTTATGGAATGATTTATGGTCCTCTGGGAATATTCCCAAGAGAGGAATTGCTGAATTGTATGAACGGTCAATTTTTAGTTCTTTTAGGAATCACCACACTGCTTTTCATAAGGTATAACTAGCTTGCACTCTCACCAACAATGAAGAAGCATTCTCTTTTCTCTACATTTTTGCCAGCATGCATTTTTTAAAAATTTCTTAATGATGGCAATCCATACTGGAGTTAGGTGGTATCTCATTGTAGTTTTGATTTTCATTTCTCTGACAGTTAGTGAGGATGGGCAATGTTTTTAATGAATCTGTTGTCTGTGTGTTTATTTTCTTTAACAAGTGTGTATTTATGTCTTTGCCCTCTTTTTAATGATTTTTTTTGTGATTTTTCCTTTTCGCACCTCTGAGATCTTTGTAGATTCTGGATGTTAAGCCTTTTTCAGACTCATAATTACCAAAATTGTTTGACCATTCTGTGGGTTGTCTCTCAACTCTTGTAATGATTTCTTCTGCTGTGCAAAAGCTTTTCACTTTGATGAGGTCCCACTTATCTATTTTAGCTTCATGGCATTTGTTTTTGGAAATTTCGTCAAGAATGTATTGGTTATGCCAATGTACATGAGATACCTATTTTATTTTAGGATTCTTATCATTTAAGGTTTTATCTTTAAGACTGTAATCCATTTATAGCTAATTTTTTGTATGGTGATACTTAGGGGTTCAGTTTCATTCTTCTGCATTTTGGTCAGCCACTAACCTGGCAAAGACCCA